ATTATATGTATATATATATATTCAAATAATAAGAAAAAAGTGACTCCAAATAGACAAAGTGAGGCTTTTACTCAAGCTTATCATCAGGAATAACATATTTACAAACATAGTGAAATTGAGCACCAAATGTTACAATATGCAAATGCAATTGACAAATCATAAGACAATAATAAGCAGCAAATGTGATTGGTCCAGGTCACAGGGTGTTGGCAAAATTAAATAAAAAGTTTTAACTTTCTAGAAGCTCTTAGGCATATAATATATATGAAATTTTAAATAAATAAAAAGTTATATTATGCCTTTATATAATATGTCTGTTATAGTGAAAGCAATCCCCAATCCAATTTGAAGCAACTCCTTTTAGGCCTAAATATATTATTCATCGTATTTTTCGTATATAGGATATGTGATTATATATTTTATTATTTGTATACGTATATTTAAAAGGCCTTATTTATTTTTAGAAAACTTGTATTATTTTCTTGTTAATTTTGTAACAAACTGAAGACCTAATGTGGAAATCGAACAAATGGCATTTGAAGTGCGATTTGGAGGTTATGCTAAGCGGCCCTAGTTAGTAATGCTGGCTCACAATGTATACATTAGGCCTATATGCCTTTTATTTACTATAGAAATACGGAATATAATAAATGATGACATATATGATGGTTGTTCTTACTTAATTGCTTGTATCTTATTTATAGGTCCATGCTTGTATTCTGCAACCAATAAACGTACACTTTAAACTTACAATTAAAGTAGGGCCTACTTTCAAATGATGAAAACGATAAAACAAGTTGGCGGTTTAATACAATAAAAAAGAAATGTCAGTATGATTGTTTGTTAATTTTATTATAAGTCATTATATAAATAAGATTTAATTAATATTATGTTAGCGCAGGCGCCTCACGTCTATCTGTACAGGCGGAGTATATGGGTTAGATCAGAGGTCATGCCTTTTGGTTAGAGAGTGTATCCTAGCTACGAGACGCTCTCTGACAATTAATGTGGCGCCAGTTCAGACAAGAGGTGAGTCTCTCCATAGAGAAAATAGAACTTTTGGATTAATATTATTATTATTATTATTATTATCATTCTTATTGTTATTATTACTATTATTATTTGTATTCTTGTCATTTTTATTACCGGATACTTAGATGAAAAAAAAATGATAGCCTAACAAAGGCGTTAGCTTATTTGAGTGTCGGGAGTAGGATTATAATAATAAATTGTATGCACGCAATAATTATAGCATTGTGAAGCAATTGAAATATTAACTTATATAGGCCTATTAGTTCATACAATATTGCTTCTGATTATATATCGATATATGTTTGATACAGAGAGAAATTTTGGAATGAAAACATAGTAGGCCCGATTTATCATGGCTATTTTTTTTTTTACAATTGATTCTCCTGATAACGGTCAGAGCAGTTTAACCGAAACGTCGAGACAACCAACTAGTGTTTTACCTCAAAAACCGTATTTTTTTCAAGTTTATGATTTTGTTATTGATTCTCGCCATGCAAACCTTCAAAATGTTTTTTATTAAGTAAAAGAACTTGA